AGACACTGAGGGTAGAGACCTACAAGCATTTCTTGGAATTCTGGTTCAGGCTTTTCCACCCACACTCTGCTCCTCTTCTGGAAATCACAGAATTACAGACTGGTTTGGGTTGGAAGGGACCTTAAAGATCACCTAGTTCCAACCCTCTGCCCTGGGCAGGGACACCTTCCACTAGAACAGGTTGCTCCAAGTCCTGTCCAATCTGGTCTTGAACACTTCCAGGGATGGGGAAGCCACAGCTTCTCTGGGCATCATTGTCATCATCCTCATCTTCCTCACCCCATATCCTTCCCACAGAGCAGATCAACTCCTGTCTATGCTCCACATATTCACACCAGCTCCTCACCATGGAAAATGCTGCCTTAAGGCACTCTGAGGATTCCTGCCCAGGAATGAGCAGCTCTCAGTCAGGCCTTGGCAAGAAACATGCTAAAACTGGTAAGAATGGAAAGCAGGAAGATCCAAAAAAACCCAAACAAACCCTCTTTATCCTGATTTTATTTCAATTAGGTTTTGGTAAGTTTCTTCGAACTGGTGAGAGCCTGAATCCTTTGCTTTAATTATGAATATTACAAGGAAGAGCACACATGAAAGTTTGTGGCAGGACAGTCTTACTTTGTCTAGAAGTAAAAGGCCAGGTTAGACAGGGCTTGGAGCAACCTGGTCTAGTGGGAGGTGTCCCTGCCCATGGCAAGGGGTTGGAACAAGATGGTCTTTAAGGTCCCTTCCCTGCCCATGGCAGAGGGTTGGAACAAGATGGTCTTTAAGGTCCCTTCCAACTCAAACTGCTCTGGGACTCTATGATCCTCTCTATTGCAGACCTCACCACCTGGGTGACCCAGGAAGAGGGAATGGCAGCACATTCCCTTAGCACACACTCTCCACCTCACAGAACATTTAAAACCCCATTTTCTTGCTCACCCTTAGCAGAGCCACATCTGCAACCCCCACCATCTGCTTCTTTTGTTACAGGAACTGTAGGAAATGAACCCCAGCACAGCTTCCCAGCTAGCTGGAGGTTTCCCAAGCCACTAAAACTAAAGGTTTTGAGTTCTGAGGTCCCTTCCAACCCAAACCATTCTGGAATTCTCTGAGTTGGACAAAGAGATACCACATAGAGTGGTTTAGGGCACAGCACTTAGAAAACAGCCTAAAAAAAAAAGTGTTTTCTGATTTCTGATCCTTTCAGAAGGACATTTCCAACCTAAAACAGCATTTGATGCCAAACTCAGGCTTTGGGACCCGTGTCCATGTGAGCAGCTCTTCTCTGCCTTAAGCCAATACAAGGTCCCATCTCTATCAGCTGCAGTTATTTCACCCACTCTAGCCGAAATCCCAGCACAGCACTAAGAGCTCAGTTAATAACTTTAACCAGCCTTAGCTGTCACCCCGCCCCCTTCAGTTTTTAATCCCAGTTTGCATTTTGCAGATGGACAAAAAACCCTTCAGATCCCTCTGCTCTGTATCTGCTTCGACTGCGTCCCCTAACACGCACCTCATGTTGTTTGATGTAATCTGTCTAACCACAAATTCCCTCTCTGCAGACATCTTTGCTTCACGAAGTAGCTTTAGATAACAGGATCTGCCAGTATTTAGCAGCAATTTAAGCTCCCTCCTCTGCTACCCCTCTCCAATCTCATCTGGCAGGGTTGCTCGAATGTCTGACAGGAGAGGAAACGAGCCTTAATTGAGATGCACTGAGGTGCCTGTGGAATTTTCAGCTCAGTGGTCTCCTAGGGCTGAACGGAAAACTGCAGCATTTCCTGTCGGGAAAGCTCAATCGTGCTGGTTTGTAACTCTAGCATCAGGAGGAATATACCCTCTTGCGGGGAGGCTGGTACAACTCAGCACCAACTTGTTCACACCAGCCGGGCAAAACACACAGGCACCAGGGATTTTACACTTTCAAAATCACAGTCATGCATCAGGAAAGAAAATAAAGAGACTATCTCTGATTTTAATGAAAAAGGTGAAGAAAATTAGTCTGAGTTTCCGTAGTTAACCTTTAAAGTCCTCTGGCCACTCACTGCGCAAATCCAGCCCTAAAGCACCCAGAAAGAAGAGAAAATGAGACTGGAGATGAGGACAGGAGTGGGTAAAAGACAGAGCTGTAATGGGATTGCTTGGATAGTCCGGCCACGAACTGAAAATCCTCTGGCTGAGGCACACGGAGTGACACAGCTCACAGCAAGGCACCCCAAGGCTGAAGGAGGACACCCCAACATCTCTGTTCCCACACATCCCCAGGCACAGCACACAGGGCCACCCCTGAGCGGGGGGTATGACAATGAGGAAAATGTCTCATGGAAATATTTGTCTGGATGTTTAAAATCGTTTTAAAATCCCTGCCCTTTGGAATGCCTTCATCCCCACTGCCCAGATGTCCCCTCTTTGCAGGGCAGAGCTCTGTCCAGCTCATCCCACTGCAAGGGTGTCCCAGGGAGCATTGGCACCCGAGCATGGCACACCAAGCCCTGGTGTCAATGAAGCAGCTCAACACCTACACGCACACTAAGCAAGGAAAAGGGGCTTGAAAGAGGTCTGAGCCCTCCTTCGGTTTGCTGGAGCCTTATGAAATAGTTCATGGGGTTCACGGTGAAACTGGTGACCCCCGTGTCGAGGGGCCAGAGCTGAGCCACAAGGAAAGCTCTGCTCCCAGCAGGGCAAAGGCTGTGCCGCTGTGGTGGTTTGTTTTTCCCCAGCTGCCCTTTGAACGAGAACCCAGCAGGAAGTTTAGCCCTTTTACAAGCTGGCAAGTACTGAGTGGTACTATTCCCAACAGCAGAGTTTGCCTGAGATGATGCATTGTCTCCTAATTTTTATTAATAGTTGTTTCTTTCACTAAGTAAAAAGCTCTGAGAACTGCAAAGGGACCAGAGAACTCCCTCATCCCCATCCTGTCCAGTTGGCTGAACATTCCGTTGCTCCCAGCCCCGCTCTGCCTGGCCTCTCCCAGCAGTATCCTACTCCAAGATCTGACCGTTCACAGAAAAAAATAATCTCTTCCCATTCCCAAGGCTGACTCTGCAGAACCAGGAAACGAGGGCCCTTCTGCTCCAAAGAGACACCTTCTCCAACACCCTGAGCCACATGCACCCAGCCCAAACCCTCAGTCTGGTATGCCAGAGGGCTGGAATCACTGCTCTGAGGGGAACAGGAGAAAGGTTTGTGGCAGAACAACTACTCCTCGTGTGTCCACAATAAGGCTCCCAAATAAATACCCAAGAGAGGCTCTGGGTCGCCTTCTCACCAAAGATTTATGTCAACGCCCCCTCCTTTATCCCAGGTTTGGACTCAGCTCATCCACCTCCCCCATAGCCTCCCCAAAAATATAAATGCACCTCTATTTCCTATACACACACTCTAGCCCTCACTGCAAGCCCTACGAGCTGGGTGTGTGTGTGAGACCATCTCCATCCCCACTAAGTTGTGTGGAGCTTGACATGAAAGATTCTGTGTCCACACAAAAAAATCTTCATTTCCCTGTCTGTCCATGCCCTCAGCTTGTGTCTGTTCATGGGCAGTCTCTCCCTGACGATGCTCCTGTCCCTTGGGAGGGGAACTGGGAAACGCTGAAACACCTGGAAACCTGAGGTTAAACAGGCTGATGAGACTTGGGAGCTGGTGTGGGGGGAGGCATGAGGGAGTCAAGAAACACCGGGGACACATCGGGAGGATGTTATGCAACAGCTATTGAGCAGCGTGGTAACTAATTACAAAATTGAGATGTTCTGGTAATTAGCATTTGCTGTATGTTTGATTTAGGCAGGCACCAAAACACAGCCCAGCCTGCAAATCCAATTCCAGGACAGCTGAGCAGCTCAAACTCTCCAGCGAGGATCCTCACCGGGATGCAGGACGAGCATCCCTGAGATTTTTATTTTTCCACCAGCCTGCCAGAGCCGACACAGCGTTAGCTCCAATTAACCCTAATTAAAACCGAGTAACCCAAGCATGCTGCTCCCTTTTGCTTCTCCAGTGCTCGCACCAAAGCAGCTTCAGGCAGCTCCCCAGAACCAGCTTGCTCCCGCAGATGAGTTTTCCCTCGGCTCTCCCGGTCCCACGCCCCTGCCCGCGACTCCCGATGCCTGGCGAACCGTCCCGGCGCCGCCGAGCCCAGCCCCCCGGGAGGTTACCGGGGCAGACCCCCTCCCCGGAGTCTGTCCGACCCCCCTCCGCGGTACCCACCTCTTGGGCACCGGCTT